AACTATATAACTCACCGGACAACCGTATAATACCGAAAAGCTCCAAATTGAACTCACAAAGCAAATCCAATCTACCACACTTAGATTGCTTCCAAAGTATCAAAATATGTCTTAATTACCCCCTGGAGTAAATGTACAAAATCTCATAAGCAACCAATATAAGAAACTCRTGATATACAMATATCYTATTTGAACATTTTACCTAAATTTCTATGTACAGCTGCTGCATGCAGAACTATTTTTCCCATTTTAAGCTCGAATTCATGCCTTGATCATAAAATAAGAAATAAACTAGACTCAATTATCTAGCTAAGGAAATTGGTCTCACCTCATTTGGATTTTTCTACGATTTTATATAGATTTTCAAAATCTGCATACTTTCAATGCATTCAAAAGTCGAAATTCTCATTTTCATACATTTTCCTCAAACCATTTCGATTCCAAACTATTCCAACTTCTGAATCTCAACTTAATATAACATATTTGACATAAACAACCAAAATCCAACCTTTATTTTATCATTTATATTATCTCCCAAATCATTGATTTAATCACGTCAAAGTTCATATGATAAACTTGCATAAATCTTGATAATCTTTTTAATCTAATGACCATTTTATGCTATAAACACTAAAATGCACTCATTTTATACACTTAAGATCAAACCCATATGAAACYCTAACTCTATCTCAACATGCAATCCATAAAACAAGAATGTCACCCAAGAACAAGTGCAAAAATAGATTATACCTTACTTGATGATCAAATCATTCCAAGATCTTGTAGTTCCTCTTTGATTTGAGTTGAATCAAGCCTATGTGTGTGAAAATCGCACCTCTAGGGTGTTTGTGAGTTCTGGACTTAAATGACAAGAAAAATGGGCCAAAAATCCAATTTATAATGCTAAAACTCGAGTTGGGCCGGGTTGGCCCGGCTAGGTACCCATTTTGACCATCAACACTTAAATTATTCATAACTTTTCGCTCGGACCTCCGTTTTCTATGAGGTTTTCGCCTACACGTTCATAAAGAGATAATCTATAACATCCAACAAAAATATTCCATAAAATATCTCCCAAGAAAATCAGTTTTACGTATCTATTTGACGTAAAATTTTCTCAAATCCTCTAATATACTCTTAAGAAGTATAATTCTAAACTTTCAAACCTAAACTCTCACTAAATCATAAGTTCTCTTTAACCCAATAATTAAATATATTAAGCAAATAATTAGGCATATTAGAAATTGGATGTTACACATACGTACATACGTACGTACATACATACATACATATAAAGGACGTTTAAAATGTAACCCATCACATCTGTACAATCAATACAACCCAATCAATTGAGATATTTATGAAAATGATGAGAGATCATTTATTATGATTTAAATATTTATAGAAGATGACTAGAGTTGATTAATTATGATCAATACTTTATATTAAGAAACAATCAATACTTTTATGAAATCACATATTCATCAAATTAAATGGATGGTTGAGATTGAGTTGTATTGACTGTACAAATGTAAAGGGTTGCATAATAACCCACCCTCTCTCTATATATATATATATATAGAGAGAGAGAGAGAGAGAGAGAGAATAATTGGCCTAATTTATGTAATATTTTTAGTTTGAAGTTAATATATTTAATTAGGTGGATGTTCAAACGAGAACCCCTGTGATTTATGAGAATGTGAGAACAAACTATTACTCTCAAAATTTTTTAATCAATAAATTTACTTTTATTATATATAAATAATTTAATAAGGGCAGTAATGTAATTAAGTAATTTTTATAATTTTTATTTTATTTAGTTAACCATAATTATCCTATCACGTTTCCACGTTTTACTCTTGTTAGTTTTCTTCTTCTCCATATCACACCCATATCACATTATTACATCAAAAATTTAACCTATCAACCAAAACGATAACTCAAGTGATGTATAACGGTGATTATCACACCCATATCACATGATTANAAAAATTTAACTTATCAACTAAAACGATAACCCAAGTGATGTATAACGGTGATTATCACACCCATACCACATAATTACACCGAAAAATTTAACTTATCAACCAAAACAATAACCCAAGTTATGTATAACGGTGATTGTCACACCCATCTCACATGATTATCACACTCATATCACATGATTACACCAAAAATTTAACTTATCAACAAAATGATAACCCAGGTGATGTATAACGGTGATTATCACACTCATATCACATGATTACACCAAAAATTTAACTTATCAACCAAAACGATAACCCAAGTGATGTATAACGGTGATTATCACACCCATATCACATAATTACACAAAAATTTTAACTTATCAACCAAAACGATAACCCAAGTGATGTATAACAGTGATTATCACACCTATATCACATGATTACACCAAAAATTTAACTTATCAACCAAAACGATAACCCAAGTGATGTATAACAGTGATTATCACACCTCTATCACATGATTATCACACCTCTATCACATGATTATCACATCTATATCACATGATTATCATAAATATATCACATGATTACACCAAAAATTTAACTTATCAACCAAAACGATAACCAAAGTGATGTATAACGGTGATTATCACACTCCTATCACATGATTATCACACTCCTATCACATGATTATCACACCTAGTATAATCCTAACCTATCGAAACCATTCAAAATCGTTGTGATRATGTCTAACATAACCAATTGAAACCATGATCAAATCGAGTGACATTGATATCACATGAGTATCACAACTAATCGATTAAAAACTTGTTCAAAACGAGTAATTTTGAAAGATACCTTGAATAAACTTCTTCTTGTTGTCTGCTTGTTGCATGCAATGGCTTCTCGATTAGGGTTCTTGGTCGATTAAGGTTGCTTGTTCTTGGTCGATCACCGTCGATCAAGGTTTGCTTCGGTCGGTTGTTTTGCGATTTGAAGTTATGAGTCTCCTTGAATTTTTAACCGTTTACTAGATAATGATAAGGTTAATGATAATAATGATCGTGTTTAAAAGATTTGATGATATCATTTCCATTATTATCCTTTTAATTTTAATTTTTTTGAATCTTTTTCAATTTCAATTTTAATTTTAAAAATCTTTTTATTTTATTTTTTATCACAATATGAAATTTTGGGTTGTTCTCGCGTTCTCGTAAATCACAGGGGTTCTCGTTTGAACCCTTCCTTATTTACTTATTACACTAGTTTTTATTATGTAATATGTATTTAGAATTAGAACATATTTAAACGTTTTATTTGTTTGGACTACAAATATTATTGATTTTATAATGAAGTTCTAATCTTATAACTATTAGATTGTAGGCATTAGGTATAAATCGTATAGTAACACACTGCATTTTTGCATCACGGTGTTTTTATTGTTTGGGAATACTCAAACAACATATGCGATGCAATTAACGGTCTAGCACGAAATCACACTGCAAACACCCTTTTTTTTATTTGATCTTCATATTTAAGAGTATTTTCAACCGTGAAGCACAACCATCAAGCATTAACATTGTTTTACTCAAGATTGAATATTATATTTTCTTTTATTACATATAATTTGATGTTTTACCGTGGACAATATATAACAATGGAAATTGAGATTTACAACACAATAAAGGGTACGTTAACTTAAAGTTTCATAATATATTTGTTTTCATTCAAACTGAAAAAGGTTTATTAAAAATCCATTTATCAGATATCTACTGGATAAATGGTTCAGGGTGTCACTTACTTTGATTAGAACCGAGGATCCTGCATGATAAGAGGCATAACAAAGATCGAGAAACTTACCCATGATGGAGAAGACACATATTTGTTAAATGTTTACAGAATGAAAGATACTTATCAACAATCCATTTCAATGGCCAAAATGTTACCCGATAAGGTAAGTGAAGATGATGATTCGAATTGAATGAAAACAAGCGATCCGTAAATCAAATCATATTATATCAACTAATTTAGATTCTATTTGTTCAGTTTCACTAGAAACATATAAATTTTTGGATCGTATATGAATTAGAGAATTAGATTAGAGACGGATACATGATTTTTTTTACATGGTGACTCATTAACTTTAAGGGGAAAGATAAAAGAAACTTTTAGTAAAATCTTATATAATTTGTTTTCATTAAATTTTTAATGAATAAAGTTAACTGTATGGATTAATTTTTATAAGTGTAGATTAGGAGGGTTTTTTTTTCCATAGATAGAATAAACATGTTTTTCAATTGGGAGGTACTCATGAAAATGAAAAAACTTCAAATACTTGCTAAATAAAACACTTTCTATATCATTAGACCACTATCAGACAGTCATACATTGCTGACCGAGTAAATTGTAATTTCCATTAAACCTCTGGCGATAATCCATTAGTTGGGTAGTTTCTTGTATCTCCAAAAAGAAAATGTCATAGGTTCTATTCCTTGCGACTCCAATTTCAATTATTTCTTATAAGAAAGCAAAACGTATTATTTAAAAAAAAAAAAAAAAAACTCTTAGTTAAAGGCTTAAAGCTGAAAAACAGAAATCTTGTTAGGAAGAGGATTTGAACCCGACATCTCTTGAATGGAACACTTTAATTAAACACCTTAAACCAACCCGACTGTCTCAAATTTATGTCATAATTGTAGTTTTAAAAATTATAGGGCATGCAATGAAACATTACGATTACACCCTTTAAAAACGTAATTCTTTTTCCATTTCATGGCATGCCCCTAAGCATGTCCACCCCTGATTTAGGGGCCGTTTATGGTTTACCGGCTTATTTACCTTACATATGACATGCATGATTTGCAAAAAATGTGTTAGATCATACCCAACATACCATAATGACTTGCATACATTATGCAACAGGATATGACGCCATCATCAGATAAAAGGCAAATCACATGACCCATGCGCAGGTCAGATGGTGTCTAAAGTTGAACCATAGACCTCTAACTCATTTTGCAAGAATGACAACTATTTACCCGCTAGGCTAAATGTGCAGGGACCACACGATACCATATAAACCATCATCTATTTGCAGAAATAGACACAGAATCATAAGCATTCGATTATTACATTGCATAGAATACTCAGCAGGGAAAAAAGGAAATTATGTACCAATGCATCATCACGACAACAACGAACCATCGAGTAGTTACATATGGCGACGAGATTCTGAATCCACAATGCCGTTTATCTTTTTCAGAAGCTCAGGTTTGTTGGCCCCCACAAGCCTATCGAATTGGTCTCCATCTCTAAGGAAGAAGAATGTTGGAGTAGCTTTTATATCCCATTGGGTGCTAAACTCCTGAATTAACACACACAAAAACAAATCATCCATCTCCTAGACTTTGGGATTTCATGGATACAGTTGGGAATTTTGATCAATCAGGCTGAGTTTCAACATCAAGATTGATATACATTCTTCATGTTTTCCAAAATAATTTCATAACTACATTGGACTTGAGAACAAACACTACAAACTGGAAAATGTTGGTGCTAATTTTAGAAATGTCCATATCAATTCTGATTCGGAAGAAACGTGTTAGCACCGTTGGCATCTTGGTGTTAAGTTTTGTAGGAACATAAATATCAATTTTGATTCTTTTTGTATCTATTTACACTACTTGTTCTACAGTTCCATGTAATGTTTTCTTCTTTTGTTGAATAGAGGAGTATAACTTACTGTTAATTCATCAACATCCACGGTTAGAAACATAAGTGAAGGGTGTTTCTCCGATAGTTCAATGTAGTACGGTGTAATCATTCTACAAGGGCCACACCAAGATGCACTGAAGTTGGCAATCACCTGAAACACATACAAAGATAAAGCAGGCAGTGCCTTATAGGAATGAGTAATTACCATAATTGTACACTACCTCTATAAGTTACAAATCGGAACAATTTCTATTCCGGGACGTTCCAAGAAAATTACAACAATTCCTTTTAAAGAATTGCAATCTAGGATTCATATGGGTATGATATGTGACTAAGGCCTGTCCTGGGGGTTTTGATTAGAAATTATTTTTACAAATTTTATTTAGATGGTGTTTTAGTCATTTGAAGTTTTTAAAATTAAAAACAAAGAATAAATACTAAAAATAATTTTTTTTGATACTTAACTCTAAAGCAACTCTTTTTATAAACACATTTAATAGATTTGTTAAAAAATAAAGAGATCCAAAATTACAGATATTGTAAACAATACATTGAAGTAAGAATATAACTAATAAAAATATATGGAAAAAAATAATTCAAGCAGGCCTAACCAATCCCCCTTATAACAGGTCCTTCAGGCAAAATCTCAGGTTTAAAATTGGTTGTGAAAGTAACTGGGCCTTGGACCAGGCTCAGGGCAGACCTATTCCTTGTCTCGGGCCTAGGCTCATTCGTGCATCTAATGCAGTTAATAGGTAATGACCTATCTTTTACTATTGAATTATTCAACATCTAATATCATATAAGATATTTGAGTCTTCTCAATTATTCAATCCGATAACAAGCTAATAAGAATCCAAGAAATGTTCTTCAACATATGACCAATTACTTACTACTTTGTGTTCCCTCTTTGCTTCTGACAGCTTTTGATCCCAAGCATCCTTGGTAGTGACAAGAGTCACGTTACCTCCAGCAAATTCAGCATGATGATCAGACTCATCTCCGTCATTCTGAGCCTGAAAATATTAATTGCATTGAATAAACTCCATGGTCAATTCAAATCATAAGACAAGGAAGGCTGGACCAACAGTCAAATCTAATACAATCAAAGTGGATCACCTGCTTTTGGTTTTCACGTTGATAGTTTGTAACTTGTTCACTATATGTGAACATTCAGGAATTTTGCTAAAAATTTAATAATTTGGTTCTTAAAACGAAATACTTTGAGACAATTAATCAACAAATGTGAGAGCTTCTATACTCCAAGAATCTCTCCCTTTAATGTAGAAAACTTCTCGTGTTACGTTCACCTTATCATCAAACAAAGTTCCCTCCCAATGTAAGAATTTACCCCTCTATGTATGATGCTAATATCCCCTCTCCCTTTGTAACAGAATTATTCTGGTAAAGATAATAATGCCCTTAATTGTCTAATTGATTGCTTTTTTATTCCTTCGAGAATACACCTGGACAATTGGTGGCTTATCAATACCTCCTCTCTCCCCCCTCCAAAAAAAATGAGTCCAAAAGGTGACATGGAAATTGATAAGACATTGCTGTATAGAATTCTCAAGTATCTTCGAATGTTGTCAATCCCTTCAACCAATTAACACTTCCAGCTCCTTGTTATGACCAAATCAAATGCCCTTCGGTAACTCTGGCTCCATGACAAGTTCCAAGTTCTCCTGTAGCCCATCAGGGAGAGGAGATTGGACTTGATTATTTCCTACCATTGCCTTAAAAGTTGAGATATACGAAACACTAGGTAGATCACAGTGCCTTCTGGATGTTGGAATCTGTAAGCCACCTTCCCTACTTTAGCTATCACCGCAAAGGGTCCACAATAAATGTGGAGCTAACTTCGCATTGTGTTTAGAGGCTAGATGCTTGTCTAGAGGGTCTCATCTTTAAGTAAGCCGACTCTCCGGCCTGAAATTCCACTTCTCGCCAGTGATTATCAGCCGAGACCTCCATCCTTTGTTGAACCTTTAATCACTGCTTGCGTAATTGTTCTTACTTCTTGTCCCATGACAGCAACATTTGATCTACAGCTGAGTTTGAAGCTTCCGCCACTAGGTAAGCCACTAGGCTAGGAGGGTCTTGTCCATAAATCATCTTGAATGGGGTAGATTAGGAGATGTGTGAAAGGAAGTATTGTACCATTGTTCAGCCCAAGGTAGCATGTAGCCCATTGTTCGAGCTTTGCACTTGCAAAGCAACGCAAGTAGGCTTCCAGACACCTGTTAACAACTTCGATTTGGCCATCACCCTGTGGAATGTGGATGGTAGGCTATGTTGAAATTAATTTTGGTCCCTTCATCTTGAAAAGTTCACTCCAGAAATTACTTAGAAAAACCTTGTCATGATCGTACACAATGGTCTTAGGCAGTCCATGGAGCTAACCACTTCTTTGATGAAGGCAAGGGCCACTAGATTGAGCAGTGAAATAATTTATGTTGATGACATGTTCGTATTTACTAAGCCTGTAGACTACAACCAGTAGTTAATTCATTCCTTTTGACATTAAACCCTACACAAAATCCATGGAAATAACCTCCCATACTCTTTCCAGAATTGACAGTGGTTGTAAAAACCCCAAGGAGATAACATGAAAGATTTATTCTTTTGGCAAATCCCAGATTCGTCTAAATATTTTATGGTCGTTTTTTTCATTTCTTACCACCAACGTTTGGCATGTATCCTCTGAAAAGTTTTAAGAACCTTAAAATGACCCCCTATTACCACGTCATGCTATCCCCTTAGCGGCTTAGGAAACAAAGGTGAGTGCTTCAGTAGAAATAATTGCCCTTTTCTTACCAAAAAATCTCCTTGTGATATTGACCATCTTTCTGTAACTCGCTCTGTAACCGAGTCATAATGCCTCGTAATTTCGGATAATTTTTTGTTCTGTTCAAGCATTACTTCTGAGTCAACCTCCTGAACCAGCACCATCCCAACAATTGTTGGGATACAATTAATTCAAGGAAGAGCATCTGCAACCACATTATCCTCCACTGGCTTAGATTGGATGGAGAAGTTAAAAAAACTATGACTTTTACCAGCCATGTTTGACACTTTGGTGCCACTTTTCGTTGCTCCAACAAGTATGTTAGGCTTTCTTGATGTGTTTTAACAACAAATTTCTTGCCTAAAAGGCAATGCAGACATTTCTTAATTGCCAACACCATAACTATCAGTTCTCTTTTGTGTGCTGTTGAATCGCACTTGAGCAGGCAAAGCTTCACTAAATAATGATATTGGCCTTTATTTAACTTTTCATGTTAATCCTTCGCCATAATTTGATGGCATGAACATACCCCTCAAATACGTCATAAAATGTTGCTAATACTTTTACGATTTTTATATATATTAGTGCATCCTTATACTCATGTTCTTGTAGGTTGCAAAGGTCTCCGAGCTTGTGGTCCTCCTTTGAGTTTGGGTTCAATTGGAAAGCATTTCCTCTGACTAAGATGATAGGGAAATGGGACCCTTCCTTCTAAATGGGGGTGCCCAGGGCACCTCATCTTGTCAGTAGGTTTTGGGGGTTCATTGATTAGTACACCCCCGGTGCTGGTAAGGTCCTTGCACTCCACGTTCTTTCTGAGGACTTGAGTGTTATTGTTGATTTTCCAAGGCTAGGCTCTCCTTGAATGGCCACCTTTACTCCGTCCAAATTAAATCTCATGGTTAAAGTCTTTCGAGTGACGTTCATTTCTCCAAGTGTTTCCAACCATTGCATACCCAGTATCACATCCTCTCTGCCCAAATCAATCTTCACTAAGATCTCCGATGATGCCAATTCCACGTCCTTGCACAAGTCTCCTTCCATTAATGGTTTTGGGGGTCTCTAGAGTTTTGATGTTCTAGTATTCACGTATGATTGTAGTTTCCTGACCCAACTTCCCATTCTATAAGTTCGTCTTGTAATAGAGGACTTCCAGCTCTTCTTTTACATTTATGGCCAACTTGGAATTTTTCATCACAACATAAACACCTACCTTTTGCTCAGTTGTCCTTCAACTCTTCCTCTTCCAGGCATCATGTTAGAGGATTAACTGTCCTGGTAATTGTCCCAATTGAGTCGGTGGCCCCTTCGGAATAAGAAGACCGATTAATGGTATCAACAAATGCAATGTTTTTTTGCTATGTTGAGTGCTCCCTTTGTATGGGTTAATAGTTGACTTAACCCACCTCCTAAGTTGAAGGTTTCTATCCTCCACCAGTTTTGTCTTAAGTCCATTATATTCATTAGCCCTTGGGTCTCATCAATATAACATCCGCTTGTACCATCCCACCCAAATTAGATAAGAGAGAAGCCAATGTTTCAAAGGATAACACTTATTCTTGTATTCTTACACCTGCCTTCTTGCTTTAGGGCGAGTAGTTGTTCAAGAGCTACTCCACATTGGAACGATCCTAAATCGATTTAGCAACATTTGTTTGAGATCATCCCACAATATGATTGGCCTCCTACCATCTGCCTAATGAAACCACGCCAATGCTCTCCTATGCATATCTCCGCCATTGCTAGTTGCTACTTTCATTGCTTCCTCCGATCGTTAAAGAGCAAAATAGAGTTCGGCTCTAAAGATGCACCCAACAGGATCATCTCCATTAAACGCCAACATTTGCAATTGGTGCAACCTCCAATCTGATGCATTCATGCTTCCACAGTTCCACATAGAGACTTGTTGTGAATTTTACCCTTTACCCCTCCAAGCACGTTTCCAACTGCGGAGGGTAGAACTTCATCTAGTGGTACCTCTGGAGCCTTCCCTATCGACTTGATCCAACAGCCCCTGAATTACTCCGTACGCTCCCCTCAACAGGCACCTTACATACCCTTGATAGCAACACTATTTCCAATTTAGTCATCACCAATTGGATTCCTCGCTCCAAATAAGCCATCAAGATTTGCCTTTTCTATTGATTCCTATGGATTGGACAGTGATATATGTTGTAAGTGATATATGTTGTATATGTAGGTAAGGCGGAGGATTAATTTCAATTAACTTCCGCTTAATTAATCATGGGTAGTGATACTATTGCTGACATAATAACCTCTATACGTGTTTAACGTTTAATAAATACAAATTCAGATGTTAATGCACTTCCCAATGATACGTAAACAAGGTATTTCTGGTCCTTTCGATGCATCATATAAAAAAAAGTGCAGCTGCCAGAGCCCCGTATTTACCAGCCCCCTGTTCGATCCACAAGGATCAAGAGTTAGTCATACTTCCCTTTGTTGCCCAATTTTTGATATCAACCTTCATTACTGGATGCCCAGCATCAACCAATTCCAATTCTCCTATTGCTTGAACGGTTTTCGCCAATTATTTGACCCTCTCCACTAGGTTGTTGGATGCCATAAATTCCAATATCCAAGACTCTAATACCAATTTGATAGGTTTCAGTTGAAATTGTAACTAAATGTAATAAAAAAAAACTCACCTCTGATATTCGAGGGCTAGAGTTCCTTCCTAATGTGAAAATTTAACCAAAAAGTATTTTACGCCCTTGCTTATTCTTTACTATCCCATCTTTCTAACAGAACAGTGGAATCGATACAGTGAATATAATCCCTGATTTCTTGAGATTATTTTTCCTTTTGTAACAGATTTAAACCCTCCATAACATCTTTAAAAGTTTTCATTTCAGTCTACTAATTAGGAGGGGAATCCGTTCACAGTCTGTAGGACCAACACCATTCGAAGGTGGGGCTAGCCTCCTTCCTTCTTACTTGACTTCCAATTCGACTCTTTTTTTTCTTAGTTTGGTAAGTTTTCTTGTATGTTATCAAATCCCTTAAATTATGGGATTCTAGTTAGGTCTCTAAGATGTATAAATACCCCTTTTGCTTTTCAATGAGAATAACAATAGAATTTTTGTTGGTCCCGATAGGGTCTACAAAAGTTCTATAGAAACAGTTTGTAGAGGGGGGGGGGGGATGAATACAAACACAAGAAACTTTTTAAATTTAAAATATATATTGATAAAGAAGGATCAATAC